ACTGCTCCTACAGCCCGTCAAGAGAAGGGTCTCCGAACGAAACTAGACCTAGCATCCTCTCTCAGATGGCCTCTGGGACAACTTCAAAGTACCACAAGGTGACTTGTTGCTTAACAAGAGCCATATCACTCAAATTAACTGGAGAAAAATTGATGCCCTGTGCTACAGCCAGCCTCCTCGTCTAAACTCACCTGAATGGTGACCCATCACAATGGAGCCCTCTTGACAGCTCTCCTCCTAGTAAGATCAAACCCTTACAGCCAGCAGAGGAACAACTACAATGCAGTGTTCAAGCTCCAAGCTGCACCCCAGAGCCACAGTGCACAACAAACAACACAGTACAGTTTGCAGCAAGACCCTTCTTTGCAAGTTTCCACGAACATTTAATAATACATTCCACAGACCTCCTAAATCAAGTACATTCTTATGGAGAAATTCAGTCACCCATTTCCATTACTGATCATCATGACTAATCACAGTAATAACTTTAAAACAAGGAGGGGGGAACAGCCAAATGCACCTCATGATTAAGGTTTTGTCTGCATTTTCAATTTCAGGACTACTTGCATCTCAACCCTGCTCCTGTCCCAAACATCCCTTAAGGCTCTGCTGCCCAGACAGCCCTCCTTACCTTCCTTAATCACACACTTACCAGACTTCCTCCCCATGCTTAACAGCATTTCTACAGTGCTTCTGTTTTCCAGCTACCGCTTTCAGAAGTGTGGGTCTCAGTTAAACCTTTGTTTAATATTAAAGCCCTTTTCAAATATTTAATATGAAATTAATTTGAATCCAATTGGGGAGGAACAAGGAGGATATGCCTGTTTAGGAAAACACTATTCCAGACAAGCGAAAGACACTGAATAAAGATCTTTAAAAAGATCAATCCAGAAATTCTTCCTTAAACTGAAAGAAACACAAGGATGAGAAATTTTGTATACTGGACAACTTGTGGTTGGATTACAGGCAAAGGAGACCAGGACCTTGATAACAACATTCCAACCCCAAGTACTTGTTTTCTTTCTACTGCTATAACACTCCATGACATAACCTCATAGGCAATTTTCCACAAATCTGTTATACAAAAATGTACGCTCTGAATAATGAACTGACATATTAGAGGTTATTAACATCTCCTGGCAAAAAAACCTCTCAGAAATTGAGAAATCCCAAAGGGCAAGCCTAGCTAACCAGGGGGGCATCTCAGGAAAGCTAAAGCCACCACCTATCTGAAGTACTTATCACAACAACATTCCTGTAAAAAATTCCACAGCACATGATTCCAACACAAGCTGTCACCCAGAAAATGCTGGTAATGATGAAACAAATAGATGAAAGACTACTGGTTAATTGAGTGTTTAAATTGGTGATTCTGCCTCCTGTGACCTGTATCAAAAGCCCTTCTTAAAAGTCCAGGAGTTAAACTCATACAGATATTATGTCAGATTGGCTATGTTAGAATATTTATGTTTTAAGCAGTAATGATATGTATTAAAATCTCAGTAGCTACAGGCAATGAATCTGATCTTTACTGCAGCTTCCACAGCAGATTAATTACGTGAATTCAGTTAACATACACAAGGTTAAAACTTCCATTACTCCAAAACACAACCCTGGAAGGTACGTGCAGCCTCTTGATCTCCTCACAGTACTGGTATCAGCACCAAGAGGACAGAACTTCTTAAGAGGACGGGGCTGTTGACGGCACTGACCTAAGACATCAACCTGTACCGCCCAGCAGCCAAAAGCCTGCCTAGGTCAGCGCCCTCCCTCTGCAGGATGTGGTACTTTGCTGTTCTCTGTGTGGAAGAGGCCGAATGGGTCCCTGCTCCCAAGGGTTAGGAATATGACAAGAGAGGGATGCTGAGCTACTCCCTGCTCTTTCCTAGTGATTCCAGATCACAGTCCAGGTGCACTGTCAGCAAGATACAGAGGAGGTTTAGCTGCTATGGGCTGCTAGACCTACTCTCCAAGGCTGTTCCCAGTGCGTCTGCTCTGGGTCTCACCTATAGTTTACCTGTTATTTCACACCTACACATCCCTTGATTCTCTACAAACTAATGAACTCTGCAAAGTGCCTCATTCACCGTGTACCTTGCCACAGTTAAACTTAATAGCAAGTCGGCTTGCTTGAGAGCATTTGGAAGGAAGACAGCTTGGCAGAGACTTCTCTCATGGGTTTTTTCCCAGATTCCCCAAACCAGGGGGAAGGGGAGGAAAGCTGCTTATCTTCTTTCTCCCAATTCTCCAAATGCAAAGGTGTCTTTCTTGTGTCCCCCTGAGAAGACTGAATCCACGCTGCTGGTTCTGCACAGCCACTAACTGGCCCAGGGAATATTTCTTCTACAACCACAACAGTATCACAGCTGCCTTCAGCCAGTTTCCAAATAAAGAGAGAAAAAGCTCACCTTCCTTGCACAATGGATGGACATGTTCATTTTAAGAATTCATACTCAATTGTCATGTCAGCAACAACTCAAAGCAGAAGCTTTGACCAGCTAACATGGAAAAAAGATTTGGTTGTGGAAAGATTCCTCTTTCCATAGAGAGTAAGAGAGACTCTTTCATTCCACCTTCAACAAATTACAAATCAGCTTGCCGCTCTCGAAAGCACTGTACCAATCCAAGTGCTCCCACAAAACAACCCCAGAACATCTGCATCTTTGTAGTACTGAAGTAATGAGTTTGACACACTCAGCTGAGTCTGCCATACTGAACAAGTTTCCTCTCCATCAACATTGCAAGCTGCTGTTTTGCAGATCAGAACAGCCAGCTTCCCCAGATAAGGCAGCTCCTTCCTGGAAATGGAAGATAGAGCTGCCTTATCTCAGGAAAGGGAAGATAAAAGGTCACTCTTCACTAAGTGGCAAAGTTCCCACCTTGAAAGCTTTGCCCCTTGATTGGCATGGAACAACCAAGGTCATGGAACTTTTAATCAGATGCCTGCATAATTACTAAATCATTATTAATTATATCAGAGAGCCGAGACCTCAGAGGAAAGGCAAAGCAAACAAAGAGCCCAATGAAGCCTCCTCTGTTGTTGGAAAAAATTGGTAATTAAAAGTCATGAGTGCACCAAAGAGCGAGGGAACAGCATCACAGTCACTGTTCAGGACTCAGGAGTGACTTGCATACAAAACAGCAAGCTTGTCTCCCTGGGGAAATTACAGGGTACTGCATTACAAAGCAGCGAGTAGGATGAAAAGGAAAAAAAAAAAAAAACAAAGAACCACTCCTGTTTTATCAATAGCTTTATTTGCCCCACAGAGAGGGACAGCACTACCAACCAGTCTCAAGTTTAAGAGATGCCTTCCACATGTTTCTGGCAGCTCTAGAAAGCCTTCTCCCAGCCTTATATCATTGTCGTGGTTTAACCTCAGTCAGCAACTGAGCACCACACAGCCGCTCACTCACTCCCCCGCCCCGGTGGGATGGGGGAGAGAATCAGAAGAGTAGAAGTGAGAAAACTCATGGGTTGAGATAAAAACAGTTTAATAATTGAAATAAAATAATAATAATACACAAAGCAAGTGATGCACGATGCAATTGCTCACCACCCGCCAACCGATGCCCAGCCAGTCCCCGAGCAGCAGCCCCCCCGGCCAGCTTTCCCCAGTTTATGTGCTGAGCATGACGTCACATGGTATGGAATGTCCCTTTGGCCAGTTTGGGTCAGCTGTCCTGGCTGTGCCCCCTCCCAGCTTCTTGTGCACCTCCAGCCTTCTCAGTCGGCAGAGCACGGGAAGCTGAAAAGTCCTTGACTAGTGTAAGCACTGCTTAGCAACAACTTAAACATCGGTGTGTTATCAACATTGTTCTCACCCTAAATCCAAAACACAGCACTGTACCAGCTACTAGGAAGAAAATTAATTCTATCCCTGCCAAAACCAGGACAATCATGAAGGGTTCCCATACTGAGAAGTGCACAAAAGAATGAGACCTTGTGTTCAACATAATCCAGCCTACACACACCCCTGGCCCTCGCCCAAACAAAGACTATTCCAACGAAAAACCTTTATTTGCCTCAATGACCTGAGCTCAGCCTTAGTGACTACCCTTTCCCCAGAGGCTGCCCTTCAAAGTATCGCTATCAAAAATCGAAGAACTTCAGTCTGCCCTCAAAAAACCCAAAAAACTCAAAAGAAGAAGGAATGCCACGGTCCTGCTCACACCATAATAAATCAACCTATATAGTCATGATCCCCACTGAAATCAAAGCAAGTGCTTTTGCTAATCAGGCTATTAGAAGATAAATGCTTATCTGTTTCTATACCAATGATATGATATGCCATCTCAGGGCGCTGAGATATCAAAGATGGCATCGGGTGAAAGAAGGCACCACGCTATCTACCATCATTTGTAGGCAAACACAATAATCTCTCTGATCTGCTATATAGGCAGCCTTTTAGATCCAATCCTAAAGATGACCATATGCAAGAGGTGGCATGTCTGGGCCGGATCCCTGAAGAGATCAGTTTAGATGGATGATGAGACTGTGGCGAGAACAGACACTCCCATGCGCTCAGCCCTCCCAACATACAAAAAGAGCAGTGCAAAACACCAGAATCTCAAAGAGAAGAGTTTGTAAGTCCCAGAGATCAGAACAAAGAGACATTTTCTACTCCACTGCTCCAAGTACAATGGCTCAAAAAGACATATCTTCGAGACACTCTAAATAAGAAAGTTTCCTATTTAAAACATGAACAAGAAAGAATAAAGGATAACTGCAGCAGAAGCAGTAATGCAATTTGTGGGAGTCTGCCACTGAATAAAAAATTAGTAACAAACAACCTCTGGCTGACTGCAGCCATTTCATTATGCTTAACTTTGACAGACCCAAATCCAATAAACTTCTATTGAAGTGCATCTGGTCTTTATCCCTTTACTGAACTTCCATTGCTTGCCAATGCAATGCCCTTTCACTGCTGCAACCTTATCACAGCACTCTGTTTCCTATTGCTGAATGCTAAGCCCCCAACCCCCATGTGACAGCACCGTACCTGTTGAAGATATCGCCTGACACCTTTTGCAGATACTGAAGTGCATCTGCCACCTGCTGAACAGCCTCCTCCCTGCGTAAGTCTGGTTGGATCAGGGGAACTGAGTACGTCTGCCCTTCCAAAAAGTGCTTCTGGGCTACGGTAGCCATTGTGCCTAAAGGAAAGAGCAAATAGGTCATTACAGTAAACACACTTCCATTTTACCACAGCTTTTATTCAGGGACTTCCACTCTCTGCTTCCCTAATTATTTTAGGAAAGCGTTTGCAACAGAATCGGTGAGCTGAGGAGAAAGGCACAAGTAGTAAGGTTGACATACTGGATTTTTAATAAATCCAAGGCAGCTACAGTGAAGTGGGAGTCTCTTGCTTATCTGGGTGCTCTTGGGAACCATGATTTTATTTTTAGCATGATACTTAACAAATCTCCGCTCAGTACTGTGCTGAAAACAAAGACCACACTTTGGAGCAAAGTCAGTTCAGGGTGGTGATACGACTCGTCAGAAATCACCCTGTCCCCTCCTCTCATCTTCATACTCCAGATGGATATATTTCAGGTCATTCAACCCTATTAGCAAAACGCAGTATTTCATCTTACATTTCTGCTCCAAGAAACACAACCACCGCTACCCTTCCAAGAACAGCAGCTATGAAATTACAGGGTATGCATGTGCACACACGCCCTTGCTCCAAGTAGGTTAATGAGAGTTCTTCCATTCTGAGACTCCCAGGAGCTGCTCGTTGCTTCTGGTGACTGGATTTTTCCTTAGTAACTGTCTTGAAAGAAGCCTCCTTATTTTAGGATCCGTTCACATATAAAACCCGTTTAGGTCACTGAAATCTTTCACTCATGTTCAACACATGCACCAGAGCAGTATGCATGCTCCTGGATGCAGCTGGGCCCATACCACTGCTCGATAGTTCAGCCAGGAGAAGGCTATGTATCACACGTGTTTCCATCCTGCCAGCCTTGCTCACCTCTCCCTCAGCAATTCCCAAAGAGTCTGCCTCCCATGTTTTTGCTCACAAAAATAACAAAAAAGTTCCCGGGACACAGAGGAGGGTATAGAGAAGAAATCCATTTCTCTGAGCACAGTAGAAATTGTAACCCCGCAAATACGTTACTGTTAGGACAGCCTGATTAGTGAACCAAGTAGAGTGTCCGTACAATTTTCTAATCCAAACTCTGCCACTAGGCCTACACAACTCCCTTCAAACTTGCTTCCTCTGTGTGTCTTGCTCATTCAGACTGTAAAAAAACACAGTCTACAGCTGCTTATTACAGAGTTTCATCACGCAGAGTGCTGTACATCCATATAAGAAAATATTCATTAAGCTGAAGAGAAGCAAAACAACGGAGGATCAAAAAGTAAGGTATCAGAAACAGACAGAGACATCTCAGGACACAACACGTTCCCTCCATGGTACTTGGAGGTCTGCAGGAGCTAGTCCAGGGAGCACTGCTGTGTGCAAACGGTATTCCAGCCTGTACAGCAGAGCAGGCAGAGAATAACATAGAAACAGAGCCTATACTGGAGAAATTCACAAAACAAGAGCCTGAAGAGATAGTTACAGCATAAAATGACTGTTTAATAGGTGAAAATTAGAGGGTACTTCACACATTCTTTAAATTCCCTATCTTTCTTCACAAAATGAAAAAATACCAGATTAGACTTGCCTGCAGCCATTCCTGTATATTTAAGAAACACCATCCATCCTCTTCGAATTTGTCCTTTCTGATCCTACCACAGCAGGTTAGGAAAGACTTTCTGTAAATGTGATGTGGCTGTTGTTTTGGTTTGTTTTTTTTTTGGGGGGTGGAGTGGGGTTGGTTGGGGTTGGTTTTTTTTTGGGGGGGAGGGTGTTTAATAATGAATCATATGAGAGGTAAGAGAAGGAAGACAATTGGAAGACAACTTCCTGACACAGCTGGTAAGTGAGCCTACCAGAGGAGGTGCCTCGCTCGACCTGCTGTTTACAAACAGAGAAGGACTGGTGGGAGATGTGTGGTGGTCGGAGGCCGTCTTGGGCTTAGCGACCGTGAACTGGTAGAATTCTCAATTCTCGGTGAAGTAAGGAGGGGGGCCAGCAAAACCGCAACCATGGACTTCCGGAGGGCGGACTTTGGCCTGTTCAGGACGCTGGTCGAGAGAGTCCCTTGGGAGACAGTCCTGAAGGGCAAAGGGGTCCAGGAAGGCTGGACGATCTTCAAGAAGGAAGTCTTAAAGGCGCAGGAGCAGGCTGTCCCTGTACGCCGCAAGAAGAACGGGCGGAGAAGACGACCGGCCTGGCTGAACGGGGAGCTTTTGCTGGGACTCAGGAAAAAAAGGAGAGTTTATCGCTTGTGGAAGAAGGGGCAGGCGACTCAAGAAGAGTACAGGGATCTCGTTAGGTCGTGCAGAGAGGAAATGAGAAAGGCAAAAGCCCAGCTAGAACGCAACCTGGCCGCTGTCGTTAAAGACAACAAAAAAAGTTTTTACAAATACATTAATGACAAGAAGAGAGCCAGGGAGAATCTCCATCCTTTATTGGATGCGGGGGGGAACATTGTCACCGAGGATGAGGAAAAGGCTGAGGTACTCAATGC